GGCTCAAGAAGGACAAACAAGAATGGTTATCTACTACAAATTGTGGATGTCGACTTTGAACCGCGCGTGAGAGAACGCAGCAGGCGTGTTTAAGCCGCAAAAGATCCGCTCAAGGCTGAATGATATTCTGGCCAAATTAGAACCCTCCATGGGCATGTAAATACACGCGGACTCCGCAAGACCACTGGATGGAAGACCTTATCTGAGCACTCCAGGCTGCTACAATTCAGGCAATGAAGGACGTCTTGATTCCCATCGATTCCGCCTAGTGCGGCGGCGAGTCACCGCTCTGTCCTTTTTTTATGATATTCAAGATACTCAGGAAGTCTGAATTCGACGAATTTCTACTAGTACTTCATTCTTCGTCATTTAATGTATTCAGCTCGTTCTACTTGTGACTTGACTGACTAGTCAACTGCTCCATTTATTACTTTTGTTCTGGATTGGTTCATCGCGGTGGCGGCTAGTGGATGTACAGTCGATTCTGGTCAAACTCAAGTCTTATTCTCAGTGACAGGGAACACACTTATTCAATTGCCACCGCGTTCGGTAATTCAGATTCCTTGGCTGATATGGATAATCACTTAAGCTCCCCTGTTGGTAATATTCAGGAATGACCCGCGAAACGTTTTCGTCATGGATCTCCTTCCTCGATGGACTGATGCATCTATAAAATGCCGTTGATCTACTGACCAAGAACCTTCTCCTCTCGGCCTATTTGGAAACCGTATTGGGGCACTTTTTCGATAACTCCATCAAGGCCAACGAACTGCTCAAAAGGAACCAAAAGGTTCTCTTAATACCAGGGTTTAAGATCGAACAACATCAATAAAATAGTCTCCATGAATTGTTGCAAAGAGAAAGAACGCGCTAGATTTGTGGTTATCGATGGCATTTCAGAGTCGAATGATGTTAGTGTTGCAAATAGAGTTTACTATGATATCGATTGTGTAAGAAGTGTATTCCATATTTTAGATATTGAATGTGTGCCGGCAGCCATTTATCGCGTAGGTAAACCTAAATGGATTTCCCCAGATTATTGAAGGCTGTGTTGCCCAGCCGGTTCTTTGTGTTTGACTCGCCCAAGATGGCACTGAAACTCAGATTCATTCGTACTTCCTGCTTTTGGAGTTTCTATAGAGGCACTCAGTGCCGAAACCGGGAAGGATTCGGCTTGCTGAAGTCAGAAGAACTAGAGCCCAAAACCCAATGTTTTTCAAAACGTTGCCACTAGTTCATTAGTTAGAAGTGGCGACTGGTCGTGATTTTGAGCATCCAGGATCAGAATGGTGTTGGCGTTGATGATAGAGATCACGTAGATCATTCACGTGTCTGCACCCGCTGCGACCGATTGAATGATCGATGGACTCCAACCAAATTCTAAATCTGCCTCGGCCCCAGACTATAATCTCGGCTGAAACCACTAAAGCATCAAGGTTCCATTTTTTAGTCCCGACAGCATTCATCGTCTTGAAAGAATTCATGGGCTATTGAGTGAAAAAGCTCCAGAAGGGATCACACTTTTGGAACATTTCGTGAGTTTACTTTTATCGTTTTCACGTGAAGTAGTCGAATCGGACAGACGCCAACGGTCGATTGTTTTGTATGGTGTTCCAGAAGTCGAAAAGCTATGCACATACTGAATTGTTTGCTACTAGCGTCTTCGATGCTCTTGACATCGAGACTCGCCCTGTAGAAAACTATCAGATGGATCAGGTGGTTCAAGGGAAGCCAAGGCTCGTAAAATGCATGTTCTCATCTCGACGTTTTTTTTGAAGTGTTATCGAGAGCTCGCAGACTGCACACCATCCCTGTCTTTGAGGGGATCTATGTTTGGAAATCAATGACGACTGAAGAGCACAAAAAAGAGATAGAGTTAAGAAACCAAGCACGTGAGCTGAATCAAAAAGAGCACAAAGGTGAGCTCGTTTATGTAGTTTACAAAGGCGAGCTCGCGAGAGCAACTGACATTCGCGCAGCCAAGCGAAACAACTCGATTTTAAAAAAAAATCTCGTCTCAGGTCTACACTGAGCTCCAAGTGCTTATTGATTAACGCCCGTAGTCTTGTCAATAAGTTGCCACATCTACATTGCCCCCTAGTACTTCAAAACCTCATTTAGTGTTTTTGACTGAATCTTGGTTGAGCAGCAAAGTTCCTAACTCCAATCTCCTCAGGCTTATTACATTATGTACTCAGGAAAAACAGGTACGGCCGTAAAGGAGGTGGGGTATGCGTCCTAATCCACTGTCTAGTA